GGAGGACACTTGTGGGGATGAGCACTGAGTGTTATGTGGAAACTAATTTGACAATAAACTATTTGTGAAAAAATAAATAAATAAATAAATAAAAATTGTTTGTAAAAAAAAAAGAAAAATAAAGAAAAATAAAAAATCAGGGCTCTGACTCTCTCTAATCTTCTAACAGCCTTCTTATCATTATATTTTTCCCAAGATCTCTGATAGGGTTCATAGATCACATGCGGAAGGGATAAAGGAAAAGACATTGTATGAGCATCTTCTGTAGGCTCAACTCGTATCACACATTTTATGTAGCATGTAAAATCTCATAGTTCCCTGGAGGTGTAGATCATTAGCCCCACTTTACAGATGAATAAACACAGGGATTTATGTTAAATTATCTGCCAAAGTCAATGATATCTGGGATCTAAATTGCACACTACAAAACTGATGCTCCTTATATGTTTTAGATCACAACATGTAGCTAGTATGCTATTTGGAACTAAAGATAGGAACTCATCTAAAGGCAAATGAGGGATCCCTTGAATCCTCATAAAGTCTTGGCCCTAGAAAGCTCCCTAATTCGCTTGCTTGGAAATATCAGATGGATGCCAAGACAAAGTGGCTTTGCCAAGGACCCAGATCCTGAAATACTAAAGCCCAGCCATGTTTCTCTTGGTTTTCAATACATTATTCCAGCATTCCAAGTTCAAAGACCATTCTCTTGAAAAGAATGCATGCAAAATAAAGGCTATGTTGTTTTGCTTTCTCATAAACAAGTGATTTTTCTCTGATAAAAATGATAAGCCTGGCATTTTAGAATCCTAGTCAATTTCTGAGGTTCTACCAAATTATGTACATACCTTAGACAAGCTATTGAGCTCACTGAACTTTAGTTTCCTTGTCTCTAAAATGGGTATGGTATCACCCACCTCCACTAAATTATTTAATTTATAGAAAATATTAAAAATTTCTGAGTATTAAATATGATTTATTTCATGGAAACAGTCCCTGGTGACAGTTCCCCAGTAACAGCTTAGAGCACTGGTTCTCATTCCTGATTGGGCATCAGAGTCATCAGTGGAATTTAAGGAAAACTCAAGAACAAACAAACAAAACCCAAAAGTCATAAAGGAAGTGACTGAAAATATTAATCACAGTAGAATTTGAAAGTTCAGTATGACAAATAATATGATAAATCCAAGTAAAATAAAGAGATGGAGAATACCACAAACAGAATGGTATTCAGAATACATAAGTAATCTGTCAAGAAATCAGTAAGAAAAAGATAAATTTGCAGCAGAAAAAGATTAAAACCTGAATGGAGAAGTCACAGTTTACAAAAGAATAAAATTCGATGTCATGTAATAGGAAAAGACACCCCATCATTTCACTCATAATCAGAGAAATGAAAATTAAAACAATAAATTACCACATTCCAGGGCGCCTGGGTGGCTCCATTGGTTAAGTGTCTCAACTTCAGCTCAGGTCATGATCTTATAGTTTGTAAGTTTGAGCCCCACATCGGGCTCTGTGCTGACAGTTCAGAGCCTGGAGCCTGCTTCAGATTCTGTGTCTCCCTCTCTCTGCCCCTCCCCTACTTGCACTCTGTCTCTCTCTCTGTCTCAAAAATAAGCAAACATTAAGAAATACAATTAAAATATAAACTACCACATCCCACCCATTATATGGTCCACAGTTAAAAAGCAATAATATGCAAATAACTTTAGAGTATAGAGAAAGACGTATTCCCACAGTGAACTAAGGGAGCATAAATTGTTAAAGAACATTTGGAGAACAACTTAGTAGTTTCTTTTAAAACTAAAAATGTCCATGACCTAAGACCAACAATTGAAATTCTAGCTACCTACCCTAGAGAAATATTTGCACATTGCATACAAAAAAAAAGAGAACAAAGTACCACAGAATGGTCTGTGACTTCAGAAAATAGGAGACACCATAGATGCCAAAAATTGGGGACTGGATAAATAAAATATGGCCCATGCATTTTAAGAACTTCTCTTCAGAAGTTAAGTTATTAACTTAACTTGTATAAATCTTAAAAACACTGCATTCAGAAAAAAAAAATATATAGCAAGTCTTCTCGGACACTTAATGTGTAACCACTCACAGAGTTTTACATGCATTAAGTCATTTGATCCTTAGATCTGCTCTTTGAAGCAGATACTATTATTTTTATGAGGAACTGAAGCACAGACAGGTCATACAACTTTCCCAGAACCGCGGCTCTATCTCTCCAGAGTCCACGCTTTTGACAGCTCTACTCACCTGACTCAAAAGAGGCTGCAAAACAGTGTGTATAGGCCAGTACTTATTAGTATCAATATCATTTTGTAAAGGACTGAAATATGGGAAGAAGCATACTAAGCTTATATTAATGCTGCCTTGGCCAGGAAGTTTGCAGCATGATGGGATTGAGGGGAGAGCAGGAAACAGCAATATCTTTCATGCTGTATTTCTTTTTCAAGAAACAGTAGGTTAATTTGTAATTTTTTAAACCATAATTAAACATGATAAAATGAAAGCGAACTTGTCAGAATGTCAACAGTGGTTGACGTGGATGAGGGGAATATGGGTAGTTATTTTTCTTGCCCTTTGATACACATTTCAATTTGAAAGAAAGAAAGAAAGAAAACTTGGGGGTGGGGGGCGCCTGGATGACTCAGTCAGTTCCGTGTCCGACTTCTGCTAAGGTCATGATCTCGAGGTTCATGAGTTCCAGCCCCACACCGGGCTCTCTGTTTTCAACAGAGAGCCTGCTTCAGATCCTCTGTCCACCTCTCTGCTTCTCCTCCACTTGTGCTTTCTCACTCTCTCTCAAAAATAAAGCAACATTCAAAAAAAAAAAAGAATACCGGGTGACAGATCCTTTTCCCCAAAGAATAGGAGGGTGGAGCCAGGATATTTGTATTTTAAAAAAACCTCCAGAAATTTTCAAATGTGCAGGGACAGCTGTATTTGGCAGAGGTGTGGGGTGCTAGAGAGAGCTCAGGGCTTTGAAATCCAGGATCCCACGTCCCATCATCACTGCACATTCATTGTGTGATTTTGAACAAATTACTCGGCCTCTCAGAACCTCAGCTCCTTCATACATAAAATGGAGTAATACATCCTCCTCCCATTTGAATGGGAACCAAAACCAGCACCCTCCATGTCTGGTTTATCACATACTGTGGTTCCACAGATACTAGAATTTGACTTTCTATCTTCCCTCAATGCTTTGAGTGATTGTAACTTAACTCTGCATTTTACCAGGCTGTTAAGAAGGGTAGAAGGGACGCTGGCCTATACAACGTCTAGAGCAACTTCTGAAATATATTTGGGAAAAAAACTGACATACACTAACAAAAAGAAACACCTTTACTTTACTAATCACTGATACAGAGACCTGTGTTTCCTCCTCTGTGAATGTATATAGTAATATCACTTATTGACCATGGCTATTGAGATTGGGGATAATGCTTTAAAAAGTTCACCCAGAGTACACACACATACACGCACACACACTCTTTGGGTGCATTTTATCTAGTCCTGGTAATTTAGTTACTTGTGGTTTATTAATTACACTAAAAACATCCTGTTAATTTACTATTACTTAATTTCTTAACCGATTAACACTTGGCCTCTCAAGGGGAAACTGCTGAATAACTACATAATACAAAGTCTAAAATGTTGCATAGGAGCATTTTACAGATACATTCTCATGAACAGTTTGTCATTCAGAAAGTAATCTGTCTCTCTTCTCATTTCTTGAAAAATTTTTCTTGAAAAATTTCCATATACTCTGTAACCAGTTCTGTCTATTATTAGCATCATGTGTTAGTGTAGAATGTGTTACAGTTAATGTACTAATACTTATGCATTTTCATTAACTAAAACCATATGTTTTGAATTTTTGTAGTTTATGTTTAATGTCCTTTTTCTGTAGTAGGATCTCATTCCAGACACCACATTACATTTAGATGTTACATTCCTTTAGGCTCCTCTTGATTATGACAATTCCTCAGACACTTCTTGTTTTTGATGACCTTGATAGTTTTGAGGAGTATGGGTTAGGTGTTTTGTATAATGTCCTTTAACCGAGACTTGTCTGACGTTTTTCTCAGAACTAGACTGGGTTATGGTTTTAGGGGAGGAAGACCACAGAAGTAAAGTGTCATTTTCATCGTGTCCTATCAAAGGTTCATACAATCTACCTGACTCATCACTGCTGATATTGACCTTGATAACCCAGCTGAGCTTCTGTCGGGCTCTCCACGTCCTTTCCAACCCATCTGGTTTGGAAGAAAGTCACACTGGGTCACGTGCATTTAAGGAGCACGTGCACTCTTCTCTCTTGAGTACAGAATATCTACTTACATTGTTTGAAATTCTTCTTCATGAGACATGTGTCTCTATCCCATTTATTTATGAAATCAGTCACCAGATAGGATTTTATTAAAGAACTTCGGGTAAAAATTAATTTGTTCAAAAATATTCCTTCTTAAAATCCAGGACAAAAATAAATAAATAAAGCCCAATTTACTTTGCTTGTATTTAAATTTAACTTTATTCTTAAGTGAACATTTAATATATATAACGCTGGTCTGTAGAGGATATAAAGATGACTGAGCCAAGGCTCCCTGCCTGAAGAAACAAGCCCAGACAGAAAATGTATATGCCTAACCAGGCAAATAAGTGCTGCAGTTAAGAGTAAAGTGCTTTGGGAACACTGAGAAGATAGTAATTAATTCAAGAAGAGCTCGCTAAAAGAAGTCTGAAATCAGGGCCAGCTTCCTGTGTGTGCATCCAGTGACTCTGAACAATTCTATGAATGGAGAAACTGAAGCCCAGAGAGAATGAAAGACTTCACTAAAGTCATACAGTTGGTTAATGTGAGAGCCTGTGCTGAAAAGCAAGTCTCCCACTTCCAGAACCCATGGTCTCATCACTGCTTTCAATGAGGGAATAACACAGAAGTCTGCTATGCATTCTCCAAGGCGGAAATGAATACTTACCTCAAACAAGCGCAAGACTTTGGCCAGGGCACCAACTTCTTCTTTGAGTGAGAAGATCAGTGATATGGCACCATTTTGATTGGAATTGTCTTCAATATAGCTTGTTTCCTACAAGATTAAGTGCTCCTGGTTAAAAGTTTTCCTATGAAACCTGAAAGCAAAAGGCCAGCATAAACTCTCTTCTAGTCAAGGCTTGGAATGCAATGAACTACATATATTCCACACAGAAGTATATGATTTCTGGTAGAAAATAAGCAAGTCAAGGGAAGTGATATTTACAATGATACTCCTAGGTCAGGATTCACTTTTAGAAAACTTTAATTATTCACTGATATCACCAGTCACCCTATAAGCTCCATAACTTTTAATGAGCACCTACCAAGTGCTGACACTACGAGGGCTCTGAGATACTAAAATAAATTTAAAAAATTCCCCATCCTTCAGGAGCTCAATATTTGGCTTAATAGACACACGTATAACACAAAGATCCCTAGAAGTGGTATAATCCAGTTCAAAAAGTGTCCAGGGAAACCCAGAAAATATGGTGGGGAAAGTACTAAAAATGGGTGTTGAAGACCAAAGACCTCTTCTGTCTTCTAGTAATCAGCTGAAACACTTTGGGTAAATAGCTTGGCCTTTTTAGTTTCCTTATCTGGAAAATCATGCTAATAATAAACCCTGTTAAAGCAGTATTCACATGATGAAAAAAAAAAAAGATAAAACAGTTTGCATGTAAAAATGATGGAAATATGGGGCACCTGGGTGGCTTGGTCGGTTGAGCATCTGACTCTTGATTTTGGACTCAGGTCACGATCCCAGGGTCATGGGATTGAGTCCTGTGTCAGGCTCCATGCTGAGCGTGGAGCCTGCTTGGGATTCTCATTCTCTCTCTCTCTCTCCCCCTCTCCCCTCCTCACACTCTCTGTCTCCCTGTCTCTAAAATAAAATAAATAAAACTAAATTTTAAAAACATGATGGAAATGTTGTAAATAAACAAGAATAACTTCTTGGCCTTTGGCAAAGATCCCAGGGAAGCATTATGCTCAGGAAAGTTTTGTCCTGTAAGCTGGAATCTAAGATATCCGATTATTGAAAAAGTCACAAAATACGTAAAAGTAACACAAATAATGTACTGGAAGAGGGATGTCTTAAACTATATAGCAAAGTATGTCAAAGATCTAGCACTTTCTACATGCACATGATCGCAAACTACTGTGGGATTAGGATTGGCATTTCAGGGTTTGCTGAAACCTTAGTTTTACAATAATAATATACATAAGCGCCATGTGTGCCGACAAATAAACAGCATAGACCTCAGCAAACTAGGAAGAAAAAAAAACGTGCAGAACAATTACTCTCTTAAAAGCAAGTTAATGAAATTAGTGGAATGGCTGTTACACCCTCTCAGTGAGAAGGCTGTACCGGGCAGACTCTACCAGTGACTCAGTATAATAAGCCTTGCATGAATACTGATGACCCTCAGGATGAAATTCCTTTCATTCAGAAAATCCAGACTTTCCCAGAACCTCACCCGAAACAGAGGTGTGGGGCAACCACTCCATTATTTTGCAAGTGGGGAAACCATGGGCCGGAGAGACAAAGGTGTGACTCCTCTGAAGTCACACGGGTGGTGGGTAGCAGGTCGATAACCCAGGCCCCAAAATTATCAGCAGGTGTAATTACAGGGGGCTTCAAATGAACTGGAAGTTTGAACTGTTATATATCCCTACATGAGCCATGATATTATCTTTCTTAAAAAAAAAACAAAACAAAAAAACAAAAAACCACATTTGTTTTGTCTTTTTAGAAAATTCCGGTAGAGTTACTCTACCATTTATTAAGAGCCTATAATGTCCCAGACGTTATAATAAGCACTTGATTTGGATTCTCTCATTTAATTTTGATACAATTTAGGAGGCAGTTTTTATTATCCAGCAGGTTGTCTGCTTTTACTGATGACAAAATGAAATCTCAGACATTGGCAGTCAGCGATGGCGCCAGGGTGGGGCCCCACGCCACTGGAGCCCAGCATACGTCTGTGAATCATGGCTTCTTGTAAGACTTTGTCTTGCCTCTCTCTCTTTTAAACCCTGCCACAGATAGGCAGAGGAGTCTCTGACGTCCGTCTTCTTCCTCCCAGAGAACACTGAGCCCTTAGTCTTTTCTGGTTTCCTTGAAATGACAAAAGATTTCCACTTCTGGTTCACTTGGCAACATTTTCTTCTGTTGGCCTCCAGGAAAATAACACATTCCAGATACACGTCAACAGGTGCCACCCATGACCGAGGCAGTTCAGACCTGAATGTACCTGGGCTCCAAACTCCATCAACCACCTTCAGGCTCCTCCTATCTGACCTCTAGAAATGACCCTCGGAAGTCAGGTCCTTCTTCTGTTCCTCCTGCCACCACTCTAATCCAGCCCTTAGCGATCTGTATCAATCTGGTTCTAACACAACTTTGCTTGGGTCCTTCTTTTTTTTTTTTTATTTTTTTTTTAAATGTTTTATTTATTTCTAGGAGAGAGAGAGAGAGACAGCGTGAGCAGGGGAGGGTCAGAGAGAGAGGGAGACACAGACTCCGAAATAGGCTCCAGGCTCCGAGCTGGCAGTCAGCACAGAGCCCGACGCGGGGCTCGAACCCACGAACCGCGAGATCATGACCTGAGCGAAAGTCGGACGCTTAACCGACTAAGCCACCCGGGCGCCCCTGCTTGGGTCCTTCTAACTACTTCTACTCCCCAAGGCCAGTGGGAGAAAACACTTCTTTCTGATATTCAAGAGTTCCTTGGTGTCTTATCTCTGGAGGCCCACCCACAGGTACTGCCTCTCTAGCAAACTGTCTCTCTCCTTGCCTTGTCAGCTCAGTAAAATATATGCCCTGCACCAGCCTCCCTTCTCCCCTTTCAAACATCTTAGGCTGACTCTAAAGCCCTCCTGGGTCTCACTTCTGTCAGAAGACCTCTGTCCTGGGGCGCCTGGGTGGCTCAGTCAGTTGAGCATCTGACTTAGGCTCAGGTCATGATCACCCAGTTTGTGGGTTCGAGCCCCGCGTCGGGTTCTGTGCTGACAGCCAGCTCAGAGCCTGGAGCCTGTTTCAGATTCTGTATCTTCCTCTCTCTCTGACCCTCCCCGACTCACGCTCTCTCTCTCTCTCAGAAATAAATAAAACATTAAGAAAACATTTTTTTTTAAAGACCTCTGTCCTCTCCAGCTGAAGTGAAAAATCCCTCCTTGACCTATGCATTCCATTTGGTTTCTGATGTCCATGTGGGACTTGACTGGCAGAGCTGGCCCTGTTTTTAGCTCTACCCCCTTCTTTTGTAGTTGGGGGAACTATGGGCTAGGGAGAGAAAGGTTTGACTCCTCTGAGGTCACACAGGTGGTAGGTCAATAACCCAGGCTCCTAAGTATCATTCTGCACAATTCCCTCTGCTGTGTGCATTACATCCATATTAAGGCCTCTGTGTCTTGCAGACAAGTAATCTAATACCACTCCTGAGAGCCTACACTAAGCCACACCTGCCCCCTTCACTTTCTTCTTTCCCCCAGTTCACTTTCTAGATAAGATTGTCTATGAGTGTTCTTTGTTTTTCCTGGGCCCTGCCCTAGTCCATCAAATATGAGTGTCTGGGGTAGGATCTTAGAATCTGTGTTTTCAAAAGATCTTAGGTGGTTCTTAACCATGGAAGATTTTGAAACCACTGATAAATACACAGCCTAAGTTTTTAAATTGTGACTTTTCCCAACTATGTCTGCAAAATCACAGTTGCCATTTATTGTTATGAATATTAATAATAGGACTTGGGATTGAATGAATCCCCACTATGTGGCAGGAGCCATACTTGGTGCTTTTTGTAGTTAACAAACATTATCATTGGCAGCAACGAGTACTATTATAAGAGTTTACAAGTAATAGCTCATCTGGTGATGTAAGAGCCCCATGAGGTGGGTGATGTTATTTTGCAAATGAGGAAATAGACTCCTGTAAACTTAACTGGATTGTCCAAGGACACCCCCCTCCACCCAATGAGTGGCAGAGCCTGGATTTGAACATGGGTCCAACAGTTCCAAAATCCTTATCCTGCCTCCCAAGAGAGACAATAAATAGCTTCCCTTTGCAAAACTTGAGGGACTTTAAATGAAAAGAAGCTCAAGGGAATTTGTGAAATAACGTGGCCTTGGGTAGATTCTGATTCCAACATTGCTATATTGATCCAGGATGGGACCTTGGGCAAGTCTCTTCCAGAATATATTTGTATTGGCTCGTCATCTATGTCTTACTTGTTTTGAAAAAGTATATGAGTTAGCTTAGAAACACATGTAGACCCAAAATGGGTAAAGTAGAGAAAAGTAGCTCAGAAACTAGATAGGAAGAAATAGGGCCCAGAAAATGAACTTCACTAGTACCCAGGAAGGAAAGAATTTTGATCATTGGGCAATACATTTAACAGCAGAAATACATTCTCTATGGTTGTGGCTAACAAATACATCCTGTTATCTTTGGAAAAGAGCATTTTTCAAAATGGCAAACAATAATACTCTTTAGCAAGGTATTCTAGGAGCGCCTCAATCTTAGTGCTATGGCAAGAGACCTGTACTTGCGTGTGTGATTACATGCATACACATCCACAGTGTAAGACAACTGTAAACAAGATGCAGACATCCTGCCATGGATACACTATAGCCCATATTCCAACGTGTTTCTACAGGAGAAAGAAGTGTGACAGATGAGCGCCCAGGGTGTTGAAGTGAGATCTACATTTGAACACTGCCTTCACCATTCAGAGCTATGATTTCTCAGTTCCTCTCATCTTGTATTCCACTGCCCTGTTCTATTTTTCTTCACGGCTCTTTTCTCTCCATGAAATTATTTGTTCATTTGATGAATTTTGTATTGTTTTTCTCCTCTACTAGAATGTAAGTTTCACTGGCTCAGAAATTTTGCTGTGCCTGGCACACAGTAGGTGCACAATAACTCTACTGGGCGAATGAATGAACCAAACATCTCTTGCAGGGTTGTTGTGCCTGTTGTGTGTGTGGAGCCCTTGACGTATCACATGCTCTCCAGTGTTATATTAGCATTACATCCAGCCCTTGCTGTTCACCTGGGTTGGAAGCGTTGAGAAGACATAAATGACATCTTTCTTGCAGACTGTCAGAGCTGGAAGGAATCCTTAAGACTATTCCAATCCAACTCCTCCCCCGCCCCCCACCCATCCTCAGTTTTACAAATACCAAATTGAGCCTCTTCACCCCAGTTATATGACTTTCCCAATACACAGCTCCAGTAAGCCAAAGACAGGAGCCCACGTCTCCTGACTCTGTCTCCAGTGTCCCTAACCACCGTGCTTGACTCGCTGCCTCTGTCTCTTGCCAAGGTTCCATACATGTTTTGTTGAACAAATAAATTAGTTCTGGCTAGACACTGTGTTCCAGGAACTGTGCTAAAAGCTTTACAGACACTATTCCATTTCATTCTCATCCTAACCCTAGGACGTGGATATTTTTATCCCAATTTTTCAAATGAATAAACCTGCAGCTTTGCAAAGTTAAGTGCCCTGCTTTCAATGCAAAGGTATTACCAGACATGTTGCAAACTCTCTTTTTACCCTCAGTCATCATAATCTGTGGTTCTCAATCTTCTAAGTGTTCTATGAATAAAGCTTTAAGCCCCCATGGCTTGCTCCCTCGCCAGATCATAGCCCCTAACTTCCTCCCACGGTTGCGGGGCCCCCACTGTCAGCAACACCAGGACTGAATGATGACCGAGCCAGAATCTCTTCTGGGATCTGACCTCCACACCGTCCCTCCTCAACACAAACTGTCTCCCAAGTGCTACCTAGCCTTTTCAAAGGAAGTCTTTCTCACAGGACTCAATACAAAAGTCAGCCCAGAGTTCTGTGGGCTCTCTAGTTATACTAAAACATTAACCATCCTCTCCCCTCCAGCCTCTGTTCTCTCTCACTAATCTTATAAATGACAGATGTCTATAAATTCACATTATCTCCCAGAGCTGGGCTTTAAGTCTGAACCCCAGAGTCTACAAGTGTGACAAGTCAATTAAAGAATGCATTCTGTCATCTTTCACCTCAAGAGAAAGGCAACAGGTCTCGGAGAACAGAAAACACCCTGAGCATTATCCCCGAGTCACATTAGGATTCTCTCACATTCCAAGTCTAGGGCTAAGTCTTGTTCATTTTCCTCTCTGTTTAATTTTCTCCTTCCCCAGGTCTGAGTAAGTCCAAGACTTCTTCATGCCTCATTTTCTCCCAAAGGTGAAAAAAAGGAATACTATTTCTTACAATTTTGCCATTTTGAAAGGTGGCTGAGAGTACTTCGTAAACAACACAGGAGAGCAGATCTAGAAGAATCCCACCTCCCATACCAGATCATTGAGAACCAGCCCCTTCACTGTAGGGAAGAGATAGCAGGCAACAGAGAGGGACTGTGACTTGTCAAAAGACACACAGCTAGTTGGGGCAGCTCTGGAAGCCAGACCCCCAACTCCTAAAGCAGTGCTCTTTCCCTGAAAGCCACACAGGACAGATGTCCTTCCCTAGGGAACAGTCATTGAGGGTATGTGGTATCTCTTGCCTTCCTGGACATTTTCATCGAACTCAAATAAGTTCAGACCTCTCGTGGGCTTAAGAGAGTGGGAAAGAACATTCCTCAGACCCTATCCTGCCGGGGACCAACCGGCAGGTCCCTCCCTGCCGCAGCTGAGGCCAGCGCTGGCTCACCTGTCCGTCAGACAGCTTCCTGCCAAAGCCTCGGTTTTCCAGGACCACAGCCGACATGCTGGCTCCCTGCGCGGTAAGGTCTCTAACTCTGGGGCTTCGGTGGCAGGCAGGTTTGCAAACAGCACGTGCTGCTGAGGCTTTTAACCTGGCGTGAGGAGGAGAGGAGAGATTCCAAGGATGTCCCCTGCCACGTACCAGTCACAGTAAAGCCCGGGGGCGTTGTCCTGACGCAGCGCGCTCCGGGTCACCTGGCCGGACATCCCAGAGGGGAGGGTGTGGCGGCCGCTGGGAGGCCGGACTTGGCCGCCCTCGATGGGGCATGGGGCCACCTCAGCGCTGACGACTGGACGGGGTTGGCACCTCCGGGAAACAAGAGCACGGGAAGCGGGTTCTCTGCAGTGAGAATAACCCCACGATCTTCTGATGACAAAAATTGTAAGAAATAACCCTTTCTTCCCCAACCCCCTCCCCGTAGGAGCACAGCCAGCATCTTAATTTAGATTTAGATTAAGGGTGGGGGGGGCGGGGTCCTTTCTATTAACCATTAAGCCAACCTTCTTTCGATGCTTTGACTTCAAAAAGCTACCTGGAGGCAGTGACATTGTGAAACCTGAGCTTTCACAGCGGCTAAAGAGCAAAGGTAAGAGGCAACTTGGGTTGAACTGCATTAGCGTGCCCTCCAGCTGTTTACGTAACTGCGGGGAGCGCTCAAAAGAGAGGCGATGAGCCACCCTGTCAGGATGCTAAGAGAAGATGAGTAAGAATAAGAATGAGGTAACGCGTTACACATTGAGTACAGTTCTCGCCATATAGTTAAACACTCAATAAATAGAAGATCTTGTTTAAAAGTATGTGATCACAGATAATCATGGAGCACCTCTACTGTGTGTCTGGTGGTATTCTAGGCACTGAGGATAGAGCTGTGAATGAAACAGACGACCCTCCCCCCCTGCCAAGCTGCCATTCTGTGAGCGAGGCAGAGAACACGTTAATAAATAAATTTAGGCAGAGCTAAGCCTTCAGAAGAATATAAAAGAAGGAGACCGGCTCGGACTGAGCGGGTGGGTATGGAAGACTGAACTCCTTCAAATAAGTAGGAAGATGTCATTCACTCCCATATCTCAGGAAATCCGAGATGAAGCATTCTTTGCCAGCGAGAAAACAGAAAAACAAGGACACGGTAACATCAGAGGTTCAGAAAAGATGTGAAAAAAAATTAGGGGCATCAAGGACTCGAGGGCCTGCCTGCTATTTACCCAGGAGAGAAAACAAGCCAATAATAAAGGTTGCTGGAGATCCACCCCCTCCTCCCCCACAAGTCTGTGACAGAATGACCAAGCATCTGCCAAAAACAAAAAAACAAACAAACAAAAAACCCTCATTTTTGAGATCTAAAACAAATGGACTAACTCCTGATTCCATCACTGACTAGCTATGCTATGTAGCTTTGGACAAATTCATGCCTCACTTTCTTAGTCTTCAAAATGGGGGTTTTAAGGCTGTTGTTTAGGGTTCCTTGAGCCTCTATGATGTGCCAGGCTTTCTACGAGCTGCTAAGAATATAGACATAATTAAATGTGACTTCGGTCCAAAAAGAATCCCTTGAGTGTCTGATGTTTCCTATGGTAAATTGGAAGACCAATGTTGAACATGGAAGGGCAAACCCTGACTCCCACCCTCAGAAGAATCTGTACCCTTTATCTGAAGCCAATGTTTTTTTTTAGTGTGTTAGACGTGAGACGAAGTTTTCCTCTGCCCCAGGACTGCCTCACGAGCATCATTCCATCCATTGATGTTGCTGGCATCCTAAGGAGAGCAACAGATGTGACACAACCTCCATACAGCAGGCACGCCACAAGTAAGAGCAAACAGTCACAGCTACTTATTGACGATCACACTGTGCTGGCACTGTGCCAAGCTCTTCACACACATGGTTTTATTTCTCATGCTCAACCACCCCGTGAACGATGCATCCCCACTTTATAGATAAGGAAACTGAGACCCAGGAAGCTTAAATAAGTTGTCCAAAGTCAAACTACATTTCACCCAGCTCCGAGGCACTGGCTCTTAAATAATCTTTTCTTTCTTTTTGAAATAAAAAACAACAGTGATTTTTAGGACAGAAAAATAATAGCATATCTCTTTTCTCCTGACATCAGCTAAAAATGTAATTCTTTATCCAGTTTCACATAAAAATGCCCCAGACCTGGGTTGAGAGTAGAACACACTTAATTTTCAGCTACCTCAGAGAAAAACACTAATACCTTCTTTTAAAAAAATTATTCCAGCAAAAAAGAAAATTTCTTTATGCACTCCCATTGGTTGTTACATAAATTTTGTAGATGATTTTAAACTGTCATCTTGTTTAATGTGTGTGGAATATAATGTGATGCTCTTAATGACAAGGGTGGTGTTGAGTCCTAAAAAAATTGCATTGGACCCCAGTGCAAGTGTAGAAGGAGCATCTAAGAATTCAGTCTGCAGACCACTGAGATATTGTGAATGGCCACAGGGAAGGCCACCATGTTGCAGGCTGTGCATATGGTACACTTAGAGCTGAACTTACCGATGTGGAAGTTGAAGATTTCCCAACCATCGCAGATTATCAATCTCTTTTATTTAACCACATATGCAGAAAGTTGAGTTAATCATAATCTATGAATTCATGGCACATAATCAAAACCTACAAGGTTCTTTTTTTTTTTTTTAATGTTTTTTATTTATTTCTAGGAGAGAGAGAGAGAGAGAGAGACAGCGTGAGCAGGGGAGGGTCAGAGAGAGAGGGAGTCACAGACCGAAACAGGCTCCAGGCTCTGAGCTGGCAGTCAGCACAGAGCCTGACGCGGGGCCCGAACCCACGAACCGCGAGATCATGACCTAAGCGAAAGTCGGACGCTTAACCGACTAAGCCACCCAGGCGCCCCAAAACCTACAAGGTTCTGTCTTGTTTCATTTATTCATTCTTTCTCATCTTCATTCCCTGCCTCCATTCTCTCCCTCCAGAGGTCTCATCCCTGTGTTTAATACTTAGCCTTGGATTTTTATTTATTTTAAAAATTTTTTAATGTTTACTTATTTTTGAGAGAGAGAGAGAGAGAGAGAGACAGGGTGTGAGTGGGGGAGGGGCACAGAGAGAGGGAGACACAGAATCTGAAGCAGGATCCAGGCTCTGAGCTATCAGCACAGAGTCCACTGTGGGGCTTGAACCCATGAACTGCGAGATCATGATCTGAGCCGAAGTCTGGCGCTTAACCAACTGAGCCACTTAGGGGCCTCTCGTCTTGGATTTTTTAAATGTATGGAAATGTTGGTGCATGTATGTACTTTTCATGGATGTGAGTGATGTTGTGGTATAGTATTACTATAGAACATAGATGGACTATAGATTTCACAGTTTCTAACTTTTTCTTTCCTGATATTCTTAGGATCTAACCATGCTGTAAATGTACATCTAGTTCTTTGCTTTCCTATTTGGTGTGGAGTACTCACGGTCCCTGGTGATGGACACCTAGGCTGTCTCTAACTTCCCCCCGTGCCACCCCAAACAATTCTGCAATAAACATCTTCATCCTTGTCCCCTTAGAGACCTGTGTGAGAATTTGTCTTGGATGGAAGGGTGGGATCCTAAATCATAGGGAACATGCATTCTTAACTGCACAAACTACTGTCAGATTACCCATTAGAAAGACTTGTACTAGCCTACACCCCTACCAAAGGGCCAAATAGTTCCTGTTGCTGGGCGTCCCCAATATCTGGCATTTTCTAAATGTCTGATTCTTTGCCAATCTGATCAGTTTGAAAAAAGTATGCCTTTTTTGTTTTTATTTTGCATTTCTCTTGTGACAACTGAGTTTGAATATCTCTTTGACACTTATGCCACTTAGATTTTCTATGTTGTGAATAGTTCACTATATCCTTTGCCTATTTTTCTACTGGGACTCCTGTCTTTCCATATTGACTTGCAGGAATAATTTGTGTAGTCTAGATGTCAGCCTATGTCTTTCTCAGTCACTAATCTAACCTAATATATCACCATCAGTTGTCAACCGGTGCTCTTCCTTGAGTGAAAAAGAAATAATTCTGATGTAGTAAAGGTAGATCTTTTAAAATGTTTGTGGTTTGTACCTTTAGGGTCTTATTTAAGAAGTCCTTCATCTCTAAGTTACAAAAGTATTTTCTTCTTTCATCATCATTAGTTTTATCTTTCACATTTGGATCTTTAATCTATCTGTATCTCTTTGTGGGTTCCATACAGTAATGACCCAGGGCTTGTGTGTGTGTTTGGTTTTTTCTGTCTCTCCTCTCTTCATGTTATGAGTCACTTTTTCAACAACATCGACAGAGACTTTTTGTCATTGACTTTTTATGTCAGAATTTTCTCAGTTGAGAAGAAATGATCTCTTCTCAAAGATGCATAATAAAAGACACCCCTTTGACTTTTGGTACCACATGTACAGTTTTCCAAATTGCCATTTATACTTGAGTCTGCCTCTGAGATTTCATTTTTATTCCATTGGTTTATTCTATTATGTCTCCTCTTGTGTCTTCATCATGCTGCATTTATGAATATCACAGTATGGTTTTGTAATGTATCTCAATATCAAGTTGGCAAGTCCCCCTTCTTCTCTTATTTTTCCCAAAGTGTACTTATCTGTTAATGCACGTTTATTCTTCTATATTCCAGCTAAATTTTGATTGATTTGGCTTTGAATTTGGCTCAGATTTGGCTTCATCAGGGGATACTTGTGTTAAACAGTAGCAGTAATAGCAGACATACATGCTAGACATTCTAATTTATTATGAATGCAGCCAAAGCTTCTCTATTACTATTATGTGTATTTTAGGGTTTTGGTGTCTGAACCATCATTAAATTTATGAAATCCTCTCTATCCCTAGTGTGCTGATATTTGTTTTCGTCACAAAGTGTTGAACTTAGCAAGCGCCTTTTCTGTATCTTCTGAGAAAATTACACAGTGGCTTCCTTCTAGTCTATTAATGTGGTAAATTATATTGGTAAAATGTCTGGATGTTAAGCTCTCCTTGCATACTAGGATTAACCATTTTATTACTTGTACTATCATTATTGTATTTTGA